CATTTAAATGGAATCATTTAAATTTTTTTACATAATGAATGATTCTTTTAATTATTCTGCATATAAAAATATTAAGATACAAATATAAAAATCTAATAGTTCACAAGGTGTTTTATATTTTATACTGGCACATATTAACATGAAGTGTTAAATAACTCATAATTTTTTAATAGTTTTTAATAACTATTAATTTTTTAATAATCGTACCTTAACATTTTTATGAACAGAATGATGAGATGAATCAATTAGTTCAAAGAAAACACATAGTTGCTAAAAAAAATATGTATGCAAAATGAATAATTTTTTTTATAAGCAGCTATGTATTTTCTTTACACTAATTGATTATTATTGCTTATATATTATTCTGTCATATAACTGTTAGAGTACAATTATCATAAAATTAATAGTTTACAGGTTTTTTAACATTTCATGTGCCAGAATATAAAATATAAAACTCTTGTAAACTGACTTTTTATCTACATCTTAATATTTTTATATGCAGAATAATTAGAAGAATATTATATTATGTAAAAAAATTCAAATACTTCTATTTAAAAAAAAAGTGATCTTAAAATCTTTGAAGCACTTTCACTTAGACAAAAATTATTATCTCCATAGGATAGACTCGTTCATACCGTGTAATTTTGATCATATAATTTTTTCTCTGGATCTTTTAGATTTAAAGATATTTCAGATGGTAATAGTTTTTGGGACACTCTGTATTGTCAACGATAGAATATATCATATTCTAAATGTTTTAATAAGACAGATGTTATAGAAAATTTCATATTTAGAGACATTTTCAGATTAAATTTATATATATAGTTTCATATAAACATCTTATCATTTATTTTATATTAAATCAGATAATTAGGAATAACGTATAGAGAATCTTATATGTAGATTGCTGGAAAAGTTTCTGCAAACAATATGAAAAAAAATATGTAAAATTCGGTAAATGGCTTTATTGTTTTTCGAAGTATTCGCCTTTAAGATCGATACATTTTTGCATACGCTCGAATCAATTTTCGAAGCATTTTTTTCACTCTGAGGCTGTAACCTCAGAAATCAGTGTACAAAATGTTTCAACAGCTGCTTCAGGCGACTCAAATAGCTCACCACGCATCTTATTTTTAATGTTTGGGAACAAAAAGAAGTCATTAGGTGATAAATCAGGCGAATAAGGACAATGAGTCATCAATTCGACATTATTACTGGATAAAAAATCAACGGTTTGACGTGCTGTGTGACAGTTGGCGTTGTCATGATGAAGGATGATGCGACGATTTCGGTTTGTTCTACACAATTTATTTATGACTTCTGGCAAACAAATTATTGTATACCAATCAATATTTACAATCCTTCGATCCTCTAAAGCCACGGTTGTCACATGTCCGGTATAACTGAAGCAACAAGCAATCATTTGCTTGGCAGCACTGCGTGAACGAACAACTTTTGTTGGTTTCGGTTTATTTTGAAATACCCAAACAGTGGATTGTTTATTTTCGAGCTCATACGAATAGATCCATGTTTCGTCCTCAGTAATGATGTTGTAGACCAAATTTGACCGACCTCGGTTGAATTTCTTGAGCATTTCTTTGCTCCATTTAACACGAGCCTGTTTTTTAGCTTCGGTCAAATTGTGTTGGATCCAACTACGGCAAAGTTTGTACGCTCAAGTGATCATGCAAAATCGTATGTATTGCTTTCATGTCAATGCCTGAATCTCGCGGTATGTTATATGCCGGTCTCACTCAATCATTTCACGCACAGCATCCACATTAGTGGCAACAACAGATGTGTATGGACGACCTTCACGGAATTCATCACTAAGAAAGGTACGTCCACGCTGGAATTCGGCTAACCAATTATAAACAGTCCTATTGGATGGTGCTTTATCCCCAAAAGCCAAATGAAGTCGATCGATATATTGTTTCGGAGTTAGATTACATTTGTAATCGTAAAAAATCATTGCCCAAAAATTTTCACGCGAAATTTCTATTTTCTTACAAAATAACTTCTTTTAAAATACTATGCAAACAAAACTAGTTGGCTTAGGTACAAACTGTCAATTGAATTATAGGTTAAAAACGTCTAATTTTACGGATATAATAGTAGCAGAACGTTGGCACCACTGAAAGTACTAGATTGCAGAAACTTTTCCAACAGCCTACGTATATTCAGATTGATCTGAATCTTCTATCGTTTAAATAAGATGCAATAAGACGATAGTAGTTTATAACTTTTTTGTGATATTTGTTGTCCGAGAGATTGGTGGATATAATAGATTCAGATAGAAATTTCTACAAATCAAATTTCTATAAATTTCTATTGAATTTTTTATTAAGTTCTTTAAGCAGAGCGTTTACAGAATTAAAATATTTTCAAGAATAGCGAAATTTACTCTTACTTTTATTTTAAAATTTTGCTCCCTTAGGGGTATGAATGAAACTGATGGTAGTACGAACGAGTACAAACGAAACAAATCCCGAAACACTCATTTACAGAGTTAAAATATCTCAAAGTGGGGTATTAAAGTATTTTTTTCAATTCTTTATAATTTTGAATCTCTTAAGCTACAAATGGAGGTACAACAAATGGATTTTAATTTAATGCATATTGAGAGAAAAATTTTATATTATTTTTTGAAAAATTAATTGCTAAAAAGTTCACATGAGTATATATATTTCATTTTTAATTTTTACAAGGAAATGCACCGAAGTGTCTTTCTCCGGTTTCAATAAGCTTTGAATATATTATTTTTTTAGACAAAAGGTATGTATTTTTTTATATGATCTCATGAGAGATTTTTCGGGGATACCTTATATATTTAAGAAATAGTAGAAAATGCAAAGAAATTTTTTAATCAATCTGATAAATTTATTTAATTTCATATAATTTCTTGTTTATTACTATTGGATTTAATTTAATAATTTATTTTAAATGAATAATTGTATTTACTATGTACAATTGTACGTATTTTTTGATATATCTCTGAATTTTTTAATTGATATTATACTTTCTTAAGAAAGTATTATACTTCAGCTTTGCTAAGAATTTTATCCCAATATTTATTTATGTAACTTTATTTTTCTCAAACAATATTTTTTTTGTAGAATCAGAGAAAGGTATATATATTCTAAACGTATATGTATAAATAATAAAATGTTGAATATTACCTGTCCAGATGAAAAGATGCGATTTCAGCGGTATGCCTCTCGAAGTCTGTGAAATAGAAATGATTTGGCAATGTCTGTTGTTCTCGCGGGAACCTGTGCAATGAAAATAATATTTATTATTATAATAAAAAAAAGAAATATTATATATTGTATATAAAAAATATAGTTAAATACAGAATAAAGATTTCCAATTTTTTAATTAATAAGACAAATAGTAATAAAAAAAATGTATTACTTTGTGTTTTAATTAATTTAAATACTTCTTATTATTATCATGTTTTGAAAAGGTTAGGTGTATATATGCAATAGTCTTGAAGTAGTCTGTAAAATCGTGGAAAAGTATAAGACTCGCGTGTATGATATTACAGGTATTATCATAAATTGCTATATTATAGAATTAAGGTGAATTGCGATATTAATCGATCGATATCTATCGCGTGATTTTATAACCATTCTGTTTATTGCAATTATATATTGTTTATTCTGTTAACGCAGTAGTTGCTTGCTGCTATATTCACTAGATTACCAATAACAGTCAAATCTCATATTACATATTATTAGTAATTTGAAAAACTGTTTCATATAAAAACTATTTTATAGAAAGAAAACAAATTTTTTGCTTTTGTAAAAAAAGAAGAAATGTAAAGAACGTGTAATTTTTGTTTTTTTTTTAATAAAGATTATAAATTTTTGAATGTTTCATAAAATTATTTATTTACTTATTTCATTCATTATATTAGGTCGGGGAAAAAGTTTTTTCATTTTGAAAAATTATTTTGTAAAAGTTTTTTGTTGCAAAATTTTCGTTGCAATTATATCATTCGCTAGAGCAAAGTTTGACATTTAAGAATCTGTTTTTTAAATTGCGATATGATGATTTTTATCGAAGTTATGAGCAATTGAATTCAGAATGCTCCTTTACTTAACTCGCGAATAACTCAGGAACAAAAAATCATAGAAACATTAAAAAAAAATGATTTTGTAGGAAAATCTTCAAGTTTTCACGATAGGTAGTCGAAAATTTTCATAAACTTTTTTGGGCACGTGAGAGATCTCAAAATGAAAAAAAAATTTTTATTTTTTTTAGTTCGTAATTTTTTAAATGCAAAAATTACCAAACTCACAGAAATTAAAAAATATAGTAATCTTTCGAAAGTACAGATTTCAAGAGTAAAACCCTTTTTTTAAATTTAAATTTTGTTCATTTTTTACTAAGATATTGTATATACAATTTTGTTTGAATTAAAAAATACGAAGAAACTTTTTCCCCAATCCAATATATACCTCATTTCTACTAATAATTTGCAACACATTCTATAAAACATGATTGTTCATTTAGTAGATGAATTAAATTATAAAAACCAGAGTTTAAACTCAGGAAAAAAGGGATTAATCTATGATTAATATGTTTATTTATTATAATTCGTAATGTAGAATAACTCCTGTATTATAGATAATCTTTAATATCATATTTCTTACTTATATATTACTGTTTATTATTTCTCTAATACTTTATTTGGTAAGGTTATGTAGCGCTCAATGAGCGGTGGATTAATTATAAATCGCTCCATTGCTGACAAATTATTATGAATTATAACAAATAAACATATATTAATCATTGATAAGATTTCCTGATTAGCAGAGCGTGGTTGGATGGGTTGAGCCAGTAATTAATTATAGAACTTATAATTAAACGTAGTTTATTGTAAAGTGAATTATATATTTCGCGAGCGTGCTGTCCTCTCCTATCGGAGTTCAAGCTGAGACTGAGGAGAGGGATCACTCAAACGAATGTCGGTTACAATGAGTGTCGAAGTTTTCCGAGCCGCGCTCGTGTCGTGTACAGTACAGTCACGCATAAAGTATTGGTCTGTACACTCGAGAACAGAAACGCGCTGAACTTAAATACTTGTATTCTCAACACTGCCGCCGTTCGAGCGTTTCTCGTGAATCATTACAATGTTTAACTTATTACATATGCTTTTAAAGCGATCTCGCGGCAACGCCTTTGTGAATATGTCCGCGCGTTGATTTTCGGACGGAACGTATTCGACTATAATCTCCTTCTCATTTACTTTTTCGCGAACAAAGTGAAAATGTATGTCGATATGTTTCGTTCTTTTATGAAATACCGGGTTCCTGACTAACTGAATTGCACTTTGGTTATCGACATATAGAATTGTTTCTTTGTCGCAATGATATCCGATGTCGGATAACAACTTCCTAATCCAAATCGCTTCTCGTGTTGCTGTTGATGCTGCCACGTATTCGGCTTCCGTGGTACTTAACGTCACCAGTCGTTGCCGCTGCGACGACCACGTGACAGCTCCGTTTGCGAGACAGAAAACGTATCCTGTCGTGGATCTTCGCGTCTCGATATCTCCGGCGTAATCGGCGTCAGAGAAACCTATCAATTCTACATTGCTGCCGCCGCTCGAGTATTCGATACCGTAGTCGATTGTGCCTTTTAGATACGCAAATATTCGCTTTACTGCTCGCCAATGCGCAGCGTTATGATTACTCAAATACTTGCTTACAGAGTTTACCGCGAATGCGATATCCGGTCTCGATACAGTAGCTAAAAAGACTAGCGACCCGACTGCTTCGCGATACGGCACACTGCTTGATTTTTCGTCGTTCTCCTCGCTAGGAGATAGTGCTGCGTGCGGATCAGCTGGCACATTTGCCGGCTTCGCTTCCGCCATTCCGAACTTTTCAATTATTCTCCGCGTGTATTCGCTTTGATGAATAATTAGCCGTTTATTTCTTTTATCACGTTCGATTTGCAACCCGACGAAAACATTTGAGTCCTCGACCGTTATTTTAAACGTTTCGCTCAGTCGTTGAATTATTTTCTTAAGCGTCTCTACGTTTTTTGAGGCTACTAGCCCATCATCGACGAACAGCGCCAGATACACTTCGTCGTTTTTGTATTTCCCGGTAAACACGCACTTATCCGCATCGCACTCTTTTAGATTGAACTCACTCAAGAACTTTGTGAACCTCAGGTTCCAACACCTTGGAGCCTGCTTTAGACCGTAGAGGGACCTTTGGAGCTTGCACACGACATTTCTTGAATCTTCTTCTATCTTCAATCCTTCCGGAATTTGCATGAAGATTGTCTCTTCCAATTTTCCGTACAAGAATGCGGTTTGGACATCGAACTGCATTACTTCAAGATTTTTCGAAGTGATTATTGCTAGCAATATTCTCAACGAATCGTACCTTACAACTGGAGAGAATGTTTCGTTGAAGTCGATCCCCCTTCTTTGCATGAAGCCTCTCGCACACAACCGTGCCTTGAATCGATGCAGCTTCCCGTCGGCATCTTTTTTCACCCGAAAAATCCATTTCGAGTCGATTAGCTTCATTTCCGGTGTCCTTTTTTCGAGTTTCCAAGTGCTATTTTCTTCGTGAGCTTGAAGTTCGTCTTGAATAGCACTCGCCCACTGCGCGGCTTCGGTGCTATTCCTCGCTTCTTCATATGTTTGTGGTACGATGTACTCGGCCACATATGCATCATGCCGGTACCTACTTGGTACTTGAATTGTCGAGCGATTTCTTAGAGCTCTTTGATTTTCCAGGTCCGACGTATCCTCTTGTTCGCTGGCCTCTTGTTCGTTTTCCTCTTCTTCTTGTTCTTCGCCGATGTCCCCTTCTTCTTCTTCGTCCTCGGCTTTTGGTAGTGGAAGTATTATTTCATTTTCTTCCTCCATTGAATTCGTTTCCGCCAGAGGTTTGCCAACTTTCTCATTAAATATGACATTGCGAGCTACACTGACCCTTTTCGTCTTTGGATTGTATACTCGGTAATTCGTCGATTCTTCCGTGTAACCAACGAAAATCTGTTTACTCGCTCGAGCATCGAATTTCTGCGTAAACTGTTTGGGAGTGTGCACGTACGCGTCTGAGCCAAAGATTCGAAGATGCTTCAGATTTGGGACTTTCCCAGTCCACGCTTCGTACGGTGTTACTGTGCCAGTTGTCCACACGGTTCGATTAAGAACGTATACTGCACAATTTACCGCTTCTGCCCATAAAGTCAGTGGTAGATTCTTCGCGATTAACATCGTTCGCGCACTTTCGACTATCGTTCGATTGTCGCGTTCAGCTCTCCCGTTTTGCTCCGGATTGTACGGTGCCGTTTTTTCTTGATGGATTCCACATTTCTCAAGATATTCTTTCATTTCTTTGTTAAAGAATTCTCGACCATTATCCGAACGAAGCGTTTTTATTTTTCGACCGAATTTGTTCTCTATCTTCTTCTCAAAGATTTTGAATTTCAAGTGAACCTCGGATTTCTTCTTCATAAAGTATACATGTCGGTATCCGGTCGCTTCGTCCTTGAAGGTTAGAAAGTATCTTGATCCACCCACAGAGTTCGTTGACATCGGCCCGCAGACATCAGAGTGAATTTTCTCTCCGGGTTTAATCTTCGTGTTTCGCTCCACTTTCTTATTGAATGGCAGTCTGTGCGACTTCCCCATTTGACACGGTTCACAAAAAACGTCATTTTTGTCCGTAAACGATACTCCACTTACAAGTCCCTTTTTCGCTAATTCGCGAATCGCACGCTTTCCAACGTGTCCTAGTCGTTCATGCCACACGGTTAGGTTTGTTGTAGCTATGTTCGCTTCTTCGACGCTCCCTTGTTTCGTGACCTTGAAGATCATTCGATACACGTCGTTGCCTTGCCTTGCACCTATCGCGAGCACCTTGCCATCACGCACAACTTCGGCGTAATTATTTTTGAATTGCACGCCGAATCCTTTCTTTGTGCACATTCCGACCGAGAATAAGTTTTTCCGCAATTTCGGCACGTGTAACACTTTTTCTATTCTTGCGTCTTGCCAAACACCGTCGATGAGCCTTTTGATTCGCACCGTGCCTTCGCCGGCAACGTTGCAGATTTGATTATCACCGAGTGATATCGTTGCGCCAGTACCATCTGTTTTGTAGTCAGTCAACCAGTCGCGTCGGTAAGTTAGGTGCCTCGATGCACCGCTGTCGATCAGCCAGACTTCGCTTGGATCAGCCGTCATTATGTGACTTTGTGTCCAGAGCTTACTTGCGTTTCCCGCGCTTTTCAAGAT